TAAATAAATTGTACGAAATACTGTAGAGATACGAACCTAAGTGCGTATCTCTACAGTATTTGAAGGCGCTGAAAATCAGTCGGTGAAACAAATGATGTTCATCAGTGGTCACCTAATCATTAACCTAGCGTAGACAAACTGCTGCCAGAGCTTCATCAGAGATCAAACTGACGGCAACGCTGTCAAAAGGTATTTAGATTCAGATAGCTGAGTCAATGGCGTCTTCCTCACACGGAGGCATATCGATCATTATTCTGTTGCACCGTCCAATCATAACGTAGCAACGTACCACACTATAATTCTCGCAAGGCTATGCTTACTAGGAGGGAAATTCATCAAGATTGTATCAAAAAGCACCTTCATAAGTAAGGTTATATATAGCAGGTGTGCACACCCAATGCACAGTAGGCGTCTACCAACCAGACATTGATAATACTTACAACTCCTCGGTGGAATCCATCAAAGGTGTCCCAACTGCAAGCTCTCGACTGGCTTGATGTTGCACGAGTCGCATCGATCATGCGGAGCTTCATCATACGACCACACTGCTGTTAATGGGATGCAGGCATATGGCATGAGCTCTTTCTTCATGCTCTAATCATCAAGAATTTCACTTGCCTGAATAGTGTGATATATGCACTGTTCAAATATATTACTTGCATCCATGACGATGGTGTAGGGAGGCAGAAATGAGTTATACCAGTATTTCCATAATTCGTTAGCTCATACACATAGCAACTGTATGATTCATAAGGCATCTAACCTTCGAAGAGTGGCGCATCTAAAACGGCCGGTGGGAACGGCGGACTGGTGGGTATGCCTTACACCAGCGCGTTTGCAGACCCAGAGATGCGTTGGAAACACTGGGGGTCGCCTAGACTAGATAGTACTGTCCTCCTTAGAGTCCAACTCTCCATAGGACATGAAAATTGAATTTAAAAAAAATTACACCAGCGCCTCAGGAGCAGAGATAAGAATGGGCAGTGTGCCCAATCACCAGCGCACGGCCTGTTAATACCAACAAGGATCTCTCCGCTGGTCGCCCACATCTGACACATGATACAAGATAGCGAACTGCTTACCCGTCAATTACTGCATAGTATTGGTTTTTTTTCATCAGAAACCTTGCGCCATCCAATATTGGGTCCCCAAGGTCACGAGCAACGTGTAAGGATCGAGATTTGATGTGCGTGAATGGTTCAATGACTAGCTTTGCGTATATATAGGATTGGTACCGTATGGATGGACTTGCATGAGATTGAGACGAGTTAATCCACACTGCAGTACTCGCGCAAAGGTCGCAGCATGGTGAATTCGAAAGGAAGAGGAGCAAAATCATTTCAAATTTCATGCAAGCGCTTAACCGTTTCAATTGTGAATCGGGTGGTTTCTTGTCTGGCAGCAATGTGGTTTTCCTAGGCCTAATTCTGTTGTCCAATTCACTCCGGAATACTAGATAAATATCACGACGAAACTCCTAAAGAAATACCACAATGAGACTGATAAAATCTATATGCCCATGTAGTACAGTACCGTGATTGATCATTTGGATCGTTTCCTGTGCTAAACGTCTCCACCAGTCGACGCATCACCACCAGCCTGGAAAGACATAGACGTCATGCCTGTTCCCTCGTCGGACCTGCTCACGAGCTTAGCGTGATATTCGCGAATGCTGAGGATCAGACGCGGGCCAAGCACAAACATCTGCAACACCTTGGCAATTTGGAGAATAGCGGAATAAAGGGCACTTCCCACAGACAATGTGTACTGAAGGAGTGGTGATGAGCGGATAGACACAGATGCTTAGTCGCAGGTTGGCGCACCATGATATCTGAAGACGCTGAACCTAGGCTGAGGCAAGCTACAGCAGCAAAGCTAACACATGCGGAACTTCAGCGAAGCAAAATAATAATATCTAAACCACCAAACTCACACTACAAAGTAAAATGTGTGACTTTTAGTTAACACAGTAAAACAGTCCCCGATGGTCGATCCTGTTGGAGATTGCCACAGCTCACGGAAGTGTTTTATGACAATCCAGATTGCAAGAATAAAGGCAAGGATCTCCCATATAGCGATAGACATCACATTCTCGTAACCCAGACTTATCTGGTATGCGTCAGTTGTGTAAACACACATATGGTAGCCCAAAAGGATGTATTCTTCTGTTATCTGTCCATGAGTCTTATGTGCTAGAGGGTTTCGATGATTAAAGCTTACCCACTGAAATACCGGTGTTTGCCATGACCGTGATAACACTGGAGGTGATCGTGGAAGACAGCAAGACTACAACGAGAAAAATGAGCATCTTTCTCGAGTGTTGATACATGGCATATATCCGGATCGTCATGATGACTTGCATGATGTTTCAGCCAAGTCAGCATCAGTAAGGTACCACAGGTGGGCTCACCGCCCAGCATGGCATTGACGACAATAGGCGTCCATGCCCACATGAAGTAAACGATAAGGCCTGAAAACTCAGGTTACTGATGTGTGTTGATGGACCCGATGCTTCAAATGAACATACAGCTGTTGCAGTCATTATGTTCAATGTAAAAAGGCGATTGAAAATATCACTCACTCCTGTGTGGGAATGCAGTTAGTAATTGAATAGGAATGGGAGGCATCGGTGCAGAACACTTACTACGTCTGTTATGGAGACTGGGAGATACCCTACATGCTGTCAGTGAGAATAAATAAGCGCGGTGTATCTGGAGATACATACATAGTATGGTGATCCTAATTGTGAGATATGGCTTATCAGTACAGTGCAGTGTCGACTTGTGAGCCTTGCAAACTTACACAGAATATAGTATTCCAATGTAGCGCACCTGGCATATGTTGAAGCTGACTCAATACAACATGTCAATTGAATTCATGACATAACTTACACAAACATAGAGAATGGTCATGAACGACCAGCGTTGCATCTGTTCCAAGTCAACTGCACTGTTATCCAGTTCGCTTCTGGTATAGGACCTTGCTTACCAAAACTAGTTCGAACTGTTAAAACATTCTGAGTGAGACAGCTGCGCGGATGAAATCAACCTACCTCTCGTCCAAATGTTAATGCTTGAATCCCATATAAATATTAATGATACCCTCGGAAAGTATTATTTCACTCACCCCAATCGTATATCACCGCGGCAGAAGATACAACTGCAAAACCAGCCAATAATAGTGAGACATCACCATCTTCATTCCACTTGCTCTCTACGAACCCATAAAATAACCGGAATCATCATCATTAACGATAATCGGCAACAGAGTGAGATCATTTGAGACTACGGTCATATCTGGATGGAGCGTATGGAGTTTGTGCAGACATACCACCATCCAGCACTTTTATAGCGTCTGGATATCGATTCCTTGGGCGAGAATCTTGATTGATCACAGCAACTATTGTCGATGAAACAGTTAGAATGGGGAAGCAGTTCCATGATCAGAAGCCCTCGATCGAAGCAAAGGGCATGATTGGGGGATATTAGATTTTAATGAAACGCGTGAAATATTTGAAGGCGCTGAAAATCAGTTGGTACAGCAAGGGATGTTCCAGATCTCATACTGTTCGGCAGTTCTGCATCAGTCTCGTCAGTGGATCATTAGCCTAACATAGACAAACCGCCGCCAGGGCTCCGTTAGAGAGCAGACTGACAGGCAACTTCAAGAGGCACCTAGATCCAGACAGCTGGGAATAGCTGAGTCAATAGTGTCTTCGAGGCACCGAGGCATATTGATCACTATTCTGTTGCACCATCCAATCATAACGTAGAAACGTACTGCACTTTGATTCTCGCAAGGCTATGCGTAGGAGGGCAATCCATCAAGATTGGATAAAAAAAGCACCTTCAAAAGTAAGGTTATACATAGCCGATGTGCACGCCCAATGCACAGTGGGCGTCTACCAACTGGACATTGATAATACTTACAACTTCTCGGTGGAGTCCGTCGGAGGTGTTCTATCTGCTAGCTCTCGTCTGGCTTGATGTCGCATGAGCAGCATCGATCATGCGGAGCTTCATCATACGACCACACTGTTGTTGATAGGATGCAGGCCTACAGCATGAGCTCTTTCTTCACACTCTGATCATCAAGAATAGTGCGATATGTATTGTACTGTTCAAATATATTACTTGCTTCCGTGAGACGATGATGTAAGGAGACAGAAATGAACTACACCTGTGTTTCCATATTCGTTGTCTCGTACACATAAGCGTTTAAAACGGCTGGCAAGAACGGCAGACACGCCTCACACCAGGTCATTTGCGGATCTAGAGATGCGTCGGGGACACTGGGGGTCGCCTAGACTAGATAGTACTGTCCTCCTTAGAGTCCAACTCTCCATAGAACATGAGAATTGATTTTTTTTTAAATTACACCAGCGCCTCAAGAGCAGAGATAAGGATGGGCAATGTTCCCAATCATCAGTGCACAGCGTGTTAATATCAACAAGGATCTCTCCGCCGGTCGCCCACATCTGACACCTGATACAAGATAGCGAACTGCTTACCTGTCAATTACTGCAGTGTTGTTGTTTTTTGATCAGAGACCTTACGTTATCCGATGTCGGGTTCCCAAGGTCATGAACAACGCGTAAGGGTCGAAATTTGGTGTGTGTGAATGGTTCGATGACTAGCATATACTGGGTGACGCCTGACGGATCGTTAATGAGGAGGGGTTGAGACGAAGCAAGTGTGGTACTGTACTCAGTTTGTGTATGACTAGTGCTGAGGTGGCTCGGCTATGGCTGGTTCGGCTTCGGCTTTTATTGGTTATGCGGCAGTTTGGTTAGTAATAGACGGGCTCACATAATTTTTTGGTTCGGTTCACGTCAGCCAGCCATGTGAACCAACCTTAAGCCCATTATGTGTGAAAGGCAGCTTGAGCCGGCTTGAGCTGGATGAAACTCGCTTCAGCCAACTTGACCCCAACATGCATGCGACCTCGTCTGTTGGAATCTGACATTTTCCTGTCTAGCAATTCTAATATCTTACTGTACTATGAACAAGGTCCCTGCCCGAGTCAATGGCAGATTTAGGGTAGGAGACATGCTAGGATCTGGCTCATATGGTAAGTAATATGTTGTTGTACATGGTTTTTTTTTGAAATTGGGTGCACAATGCACATACTAGGTGTTGTGTACCATGCATGAAACATCATTAACAATGATGATCTTGCCATCAAACTCGAGCCTCTTGTCAACAACTCATCTTCTTTGGAGCATGAATATTGCATTTTGAAGCAACTTGAAGGTGGAGCTGGGATCCTGCATGTTGAGTGGTTTGGTAGAGAGGCAACATTTGATGCCCTTGTCCTCGACCTCCTTGGACCATCTTTACATGATCTCTTCCTTGCACAAAATCGAAAATTCACCCTTCATACCGTCCTGAATATTGGAGACCAATTGGTAAGTTGGTTTATGGTGGGTCCTGGCATTGGCAGATGCTAATTTATTTCCCAGCTCTCGTCTCTGGAGCATATCCATTCACACAACTACGTTCATGGTGATATCAAACTACAAAATACCCTTGTTGGTCGAGGCAATTTGTAGCAAACTGTTTTTATTGTTGATTTTGGTATTACCAAGGAGTACTGGAATACTGCCACCCAAGCCCACATGCCATTTCGCCATGGTGGACATCTTACTGGCACTCCTGCATTTGTGTCAATCAATAATCACCTGGGGGTTGTGCCTGGTTGTCATGACGATCTGGAGTCACTCATATACATGTTGATTTATTTCTTACATGGTTCCCTTCCATGGTTCAGTACTGAACATGAGAACCTCCCCAGCTCTTCCATACTGGCATGCAAGGTAGACACTACCATTGAAGTTTTATGCCTTGGCATTCCTTCTGAGATCACAACTATGCTCATTTACTCGTGCAATCTCGCATTCTCAGAAGATCCTGATTACAAGTATCTTCAATCATTGCTCCACCAAGCTTGTGCCACAGTACCTGCACCAGTCATGTGCCTGCTGGATTTTGGTCAGCCTGATCCTCTCATCACACATCCCCCTATGTCCCCCAAAGATCACTCAGTGGGCCAGGAGGACACTCCATGTCGACTGAAGACAACACCTCTCTGCAGATCAACTCGTCATATGTGAGTACTTTGCATTGATTCTTCACACACTTGCTAACTCAAGCCTTCAAGTCTGCGCCCACACAATGGTCGCCCCATGCCTGTAACTGCTGCCAAGACACCACATCATAAAAAGATTTAGTTTTGCACTATACCATTCAATCTTTCACTCTTTTGGTCCCCATGACTTGAGCAAATGTTTTATGTAGATCTGAGTTTGTGTATGTATGTCATTTATCATCATGTTGCATAGGGATTGGGGTGAGAACAACAAAAACATGGCTCTACAGGGGCTGTATGCTATACTACAGCCTGCAGCCCACAGGTACTGAGTTTATTAAAAGTCACATGATCACTTTTTGTTGTTTGCCCTGACAATATAAGCTGTCATTTTCATATCTCACCACAGGCAGTACAGAAAAGCTTTCCAAATTGCGGATGCATGAAGCAACCTCATGTCAATGTTGGGCTTTGTAACTTGTAAGCATGTCCCTTCAACTCTCATGATTGCACAATGCTCAATGATCGGAAATCTCCATCTTCTATTGCATGCAGGCTGCAGCATGACACAGGTATGGTCTTTCTCATATAGCAGGCTCCTAGCAGCTAATTCATACAATCAAAACTGCACAACATTTTAGGGTTGAAAAATCTCCTCAAGGTTCTAGCCACATATTATGTTGCTAACTGGTGGCTGCTGGCAGGAGACGCAATTATGTGTAGGCAGCCTTATTGTTCATGCCTGCAGGCTGCTGCATTACCATCAGGTGAGTCAGTGCTGTGCGCATTCACATGTTCTGGGGCTTGCAGAACAACAATATATATAGAACAGTAAATCCCTCATTAGACTCCCAACATGACAATGCCACCTCGTCAACGTCCTCAAAATGCACCCAAGGCTTCATCCCCTGCTGCCATAGCTTCCCCCATAAATACACCCCAGACTTTATCTCCTGCTGCTGTAGCTCCCCCAGTAAACACACCCCAGACTTCATCCCCTGCTGCTGTGGCTCCCCCCATTGCAACCTCCCTCGCTGCTGCTCCTTGTGTTGCAGTGACTGCAAATCTCCAGAACCCTTGCAGAACTCGATGGCCTACTACAAGGTGTCAAGAGAGTACAGCTCCTAGGGCTGGTCGTAGTGATGTGGCAGATGATGGCAAGTTCATCAATCTGGACATTGTTGTTGATGTTAATGAAGAGGAGGATGGCAGCCTACTAACCCCAGTAGAAGCAGCCCGCACAGGCCCCAGCCCACTTCAAACACACACAGGTGCTGATACAATGCAATCCAATCCCTTGGCAACAGGGCGTTGAGTAAAACAGCTAGGATCGGAGGTGCACCATTTTTTCACGAAAGACACAACATCGGAGCAGCGCATATGTACACCCTGTGTGTGAGTACTATCTCTAAGTCTTTTATGTTGCTCTTTCTCATGTCCTTCACTAGGGACATACAGCAAGAAGATCCGTCATACAATGTTGCTAAATATGGCTTGTCAACCACCACAGGCACTCTTCACAGTCATCTGCTCAAATTTCACCTGCAGGCTTATATAACTGCCCTTGAGCAACACAAACTGAAAGTTGGGGTGAAGGAAATTCATGACCTTCTTGATATAGGGTGGACTCTCGCACTGATAGGCCAAGAGCTTAATCAGAACCTGGATAAGTCTCTCAAGTTGTTTGGCTCCCCCCCCAGTGGTGGTCTTGTTTCACAAACTAGGACAGGAAGGTCGGCACCAGCAGACGAGATACCAGACTTCACCATTGAGGAGATGCACAGGCAACTCGTCAAGTTCATTGTAGCTGACAACCAAGTGAGTACTTATTTATTCTCTACAATTGTTATTAATAATTGTCTCTAGGCAATGAATTTAATGGAGTGCCCTGAGTTCCAACACTTACTTTGACTCCTATGGAAAGACCTATGAGAGTGTGACATTCCTCATCGCACAAAACTATGTGAGTTAATAGTTGAAGCACAGTATCAATATTTTGATATTTTAAAACAAGATCTGGCCATAAGTGTATCACTGTTTGATCTCACCAATTATCATTTGTTCATTTGTTCTGTCAGAATGCAGAAGGAAAGATATCGTGCACCACTGACCTCTGGTCAGACCTGAACCACCATCCATTCATTGCATTGACAGCTCACTGGATCGTCCTACAAGCATCAAAGCTTGTTTTGAAGGCCAGCCTTATAGCCTTTAGCTATATTCCTGGTTCTCATGACAGGGTGTCACTTGCCACAGTCATATTAGGGCTTCTGGATTGCGCAGCGGTGACAGACAAGGTCAGTCATTATGTGCACCATGTAACATTTTCTGACTTGGTATAGATTGGTCATTTTACTTTAGATAATGCAGGAAATAATCAGACTTGCATGGCTGAACTTTCTCATCTGCTATTGGAGTGTGGTATCAAGTTTGATCCCGTTGATCACCACATCCTGTGTTTCCCACACATCATCAACATATGTGTTCAGCACATCATGGACAGCTGCCATTCTGTGGATCTCGCAATAGCACCTGCTGAGTGGCAAGCTTGCAGTACTTCCATCAAAAGGGAGGAGTATTTGCAAGCTCTGCAACTTCAACCTGTCAAGCAGGGTAAGAAAATTGTGCGTGTGATTTGTGCATCAGGACAATGACACGAAGCCTTTTGGAATGCTATCTTGGTTGGCAACCAAGGAAATTTGTTCCCAGGAGGAAAGCTTCCAGTCATCAAGCTTCTATGTGACGAGCCTACTCAATGGGATTCAACATATGTCATGCTCAACTGTCTCCAAACACTTCACCCAGTAATATTTTGTCTCACATGTCATTCATTGCAAACTCACAGTGTCCCAGGCTATTGATTGCCACCTCACAACTCAAACTAGCTTATTTGAATTCAGGTTGGGTCCAATGGAGTGGATGGTCTTGCAAGACCTTGAAGTGATTTTAGAGGTTTGCATTGATATCACTGAAGCCCGTGATGTGCTCTAATCTATATCAGGTGTCCCATGCTTGCCAGCAATCAATGTCTAGTGAAAGTACCCTGATGCTGAGCGGCGCAGTCACTGCTTTAGAACGTTTGATGGAGCAGTGGGGAGGGATGGCCCAGATCGTCACACACTGTGCGCCTATGATTGCAGTAGGCTTAAGCTGGGCAGAGAAGTATGGTCACAAGATGAGCCAGACGAATGCATACACAATTGCAATGTGTGAGTTTGGTCTTGACTCTTGATACAATTTGATATCTCATGACATTTTGTATAGTTGTTGACCCTAGCTTGCATTTATCATGGATTGATGGTCACTGGAGTGAAGAGCATGCTCATACTGCCAGGGACTCTATCATGCAGCTGGTATGCCTACCTTGACTCAAACAGTGCGTCTTCCTGCTAATGTATCCTACAGCTGCAGGAGAACAGAGCTCACTCTACTCAATGTCCACCAGCAGAATTACCTGCTCACCAACCACACACTGCAACCTTGGGTGCACAAATTTATGGTATTCCTGATATCAACTTGCTGCCACATCACAACCTTGGTGTTCAAACGATTGAGGAGGAATTCAACGCATACAGTACATCCCATATCAGCCCTCAAGGAACCGACCCACTCACATTTTGGAATGTATGTTTTTTTATATTTAGTCACCTACTTCTAATCATTATTGATCACACATTGACCAGAGCTCAAGAACTCTTTTTCCCACTATCTACAGTCTTGCGATGGATTATCTGCCGATACAGCCTCTGCTGTTCCCTGCGAACATATTTTCTCATCGAGCAGTGAGACATGTACAACAAAATGCAATCGCCTCAGCCCTGCTATGATGGAGATTTTACACATGCTCAAGTTTATGCTGAAGAAAGAGCAACTCAACTTCATGAAGGGCTGGGTGGCATCGGAACAGGAAATGGAGTATCATACTCAAATACAGTGCTCACTGGAGTCAGATGACATGCACCAGGACAAATCTTTGTCGTCTGCTAGAAGTACCACCAACAGCAGCCATGATTCCATGTATGATGACCTTCTCAAAGCCATCACAGGAGATGAGTGTGATGGTATTCCTGATGTTCCTGCTCTCTTTGGCTGACATTTTTTCAACCTCCTTCATTACTATCGCAATTGTGTACCACTATGTAGTTTCCACTTACCTTTATCATTTTGCCCTCTTGCTGCTGTGTTGTTGCTCCTCTACATCTTTTGCTCCTATTTGTAACTCAAACTCTGCATCATGCTGCCTCCACATCTTCAAATCTGTTCTTGAGGTTGCGAAACTGTATGTGCGAGAGCAGCTCATTGGATCCCTGGACAAGTGCTTACAAAATGTCTTCCAGAACATACTCATATTAATTCGAGCTAGTTGAACAAAGGAGCAGCATATTTTATTTGAAGTGCAGAGCTGGCTTGAAGCTCTTAACCAGCCATAAACTGCAGGCTACTTTGGCTAGGCCGAGCTGTATATTACATAAGCCAAAGTCACGTGTCCAGCTCGGTTAAACATAGCTGTCGCCACGGCTGTAACCGATAATAAACCGGAGCCACAGCAACACTATGTATGACCCTCAATATTCGTCAGGTGTACCAATAAGTAGAAAAGTCCTTCAAGATGAGCACCAGAAATGTCCCCCTCGAATCGCACATAGTAGACGACAATTTTGGGATAGAGTGCAATTCGCGGCATTTTAGAATGATTGTACACGCATATGGTCAGCTCCTGCAATACTGGAACACAAGGTCAGATTTGTCGGCATCAGAGAAAATGAAGATAGAGACAAAAATTATTGATGAAAGGCTACATAAAGCTGCGTAGATTGGTGGTTGACTCATCTCCGTCATATCAGACTACCAATGAAAGCGGAACCCATCCTGATCGTTCGAGCTATATGTCGTAACAAAAAGCTATTGACTTCCAGCATGTATTGTAGACTTCCTCGCAGGACAGCATGCCCACAGCAACCTTCTTCCATTGTTGGAGGATGGGTATGGTTAGTTTTGAGGGGATGGAGGGATTTGCATGAGAGTAAGCTAGAAGAGGAATGTATATCGAGTCTTTCAAGGTTGAATTTATGTGCATGGAACTTGATGAGTGTGTCAGAGGATGAAGACTTGTCCAGCCAGCCTATTCACTCCAGCAACTAGCGCATAGTAGAGTCCTGTGGGAACAAAATCATCTCAAACTTTATGCTTCTCGGCCCTCGACACATCGGCCGGCAGTTTCTCTGGCAGGTTCAAGTTGGCTGAGTGACCAACTGACTTTTGAACACTCATTCATTCCGGTCATTATGGTGGAGCAGAGCAGCGCCAGCAGCGATGCTCGGCATGTTCTTTTTGGAGCTACAAATGGTAAAGCTTCATGAAGGACAAGCTGAGCAGCCCTGAGACCCACACTAATAGTCCCTGCCCGGTGGGGCCTCCTTACTCATTGCAAGGAATACATATGCACAGCAAAATGTTGAACGACGGATGCCAGCAGTCGAGATTAATATCAACATTGGTGAGGCACAAGTTCTTCGTATTGAACCTCAATACTCAATTTGTCATGCATAGCATCCACCCTTTACTGCCTAACAAAACCGGTTCTCTATAGTGGTCGAGTCTTTATTGAATGCGAACCATATACGTGGATATGAGGGGGCTTATTCGTTAGAACTCAAGGTTCTTTCCTTGTGATCCCCTGGAGTTCAAGTTCTGCAGGATTCTTCCTGCGACACAGTGCAGTGACCAGCGCTCTTCTGTTCACGCGGACTCAGACATCAAACAAGGGCATATCTATATGGATACTGGGACTGCGTTGGTTTTCTCCTATAGCTAGGTCCCGGTGCATTCTTCAAATTCCCTACTTTCATCAGATATCTTACTATCGGATCTCGCTCATTACCCAGGTTCCAATGAGCCCCAAACCGGAGCTAAGACTTGCAGAGGCATAGAGCTATCACACCCATCGATCATCGCATGATGAACCAGCTCTATCGAATACGTGTCACGACAATAACGATCTGGAAATCCCGGTCATGTGATATCGATATCAATAAAGTACATATACCGTCGGTGTATCGCGTTTCAGGCGGGAACACGAACTTTACACTCTTTAACTCCTCCCCAGCTCTCTCATCAGCCCTGATGTATGTATCTCTACCCGTCTGTTATATCGATGGTCTTTCATATTGACGTTGATGTTGAACATGTAGGAGTCCGGTGGAATGGGCTATGCCCGAAGACTCGCTATCGACTGACAACGAAGACCTGGAGGCTACTACTGCTTCTGCTACCTCTTGACGACTCTCTCCAGCTAACTCTGGCCTAAACACCGCCAGACTCTCCTCTACTCTCACCCTCTGCTTAGGGACCCCTACTCCACCGGTCCGTTTACCCTCCTCAGCCTTGCCATTCTGTCTGAACGAGCGCGTACATCCATGCCACGACAACCCTGTGCTGCCTCAAAAATGGGAAGTGGTCCTGACTTTGAATCCTCTATGTAAGTACTATTGACTTGTATCATCAATCAGGAATCGAGCCTCAGGACTAACTTGTTCATTGTCAGTGGTATCAGCTGTCCCGACTCGCATCATCTCAGTGTGACTGAAGGGTTGGAGATGCAAATGCATCCCATGAGTTTCCTTGTATATATGGACATTGGGATCGCGTTGGTTCTATATTGTACACTGGCGCGTTCCTCTCTGTCTTTAAGAGCCATCAGATAACGAAACAGCATGAATTACACCACACCCAGTACAGTGAATCATTTGACACATATTCGCCGGTGCGTATCTACGCAAATTCGATGTATTCATTTGAAGCTTCAGCTCGTTCTAGGCGTTTAAGATACGCACACACGAGCACACCATTCTTTGACGTATTGCGAAATGAAGTTGGAGTGGTCAATCTATTAGCAATTGAGCTTGCACTGGAACAAATGTCTATCGAAGCCCAGAGGGGTGCCAGCGTCCACTGTCGGAAACATTCCTTACATGTGTTAGCAATTTATGCTGAATGGGACCGTGTTAATGAAATCGAGATCGTGTACCATGAACTATGTAAGCACAAATGTAGAGTTGCACGTGGATCTAGCAACCAAAATCCGGGTATATGCAAGAACATCATCCATCTAATGCAATACCTCCTGCTTTCAGGCGGAATACAAGCCCAACACCGGCGTTCGGACTCCAACCCTGCTCTCCAGCTCTTTTATCAGCCCTGATGAGACTTACGATACTAGCTGTATGCCCACGCCTTCTCCTCCCCATTCCAGGATTCGGCAATCGGTAGGCAATAGGCGTTTTTTTCATCATCACTCACCACCCAATCGCTCGTAAACTTGTCCGCGCTCACTCCACTCCTCCTCGATTCGAGACCGTGTCTTTCATACTCGTCTCCAGCAGCATCGTGGTGCTCCAATAGAGGACCGCGGTATATGCCAAAGCCTATTTTGTGTGCTGGGGCCACAAGGCGGTGATGAACAGTGCTTCGAGGGTGGCCCATGCAGTGTGCAAACTAGGGAAAGCGCCAAATATGAGGGGTGAGCTCGCAAAAGTGCGTTTGTAACCATCTCCGCCAAAGAGGACATCGATGCAACCTAGGCCGCCTGCAAATCCAGGTGAGCCGCATGCTGAGGGTGAGACCATAGATGATTTCATACCAGGTTGTTGCGCAAGGAAGAACTATCTGAGCGAATACATTTATGCACTTTTGATAGCCAAAGGTTTTGGCAAACACACGGAGTGGATGGGCAGAAGAGCTAGAGGAAGGAAGCGAGGACGAAGAGGAAGAGGAAGAGGAATGTGTGGTGGATAATGCCATATATGAGAGTCAGGCGATGATGTCGAGGATTGGATGTGTAAAATGGGTCAAGATGTCGCTTATGTTTGTGCTGTAGAGGACAAATTCGAGGGTTGAGGCCTAGGGGTGGATGACATGGAGTGCAGAGCGGGGCCCGGGTAGGAATTGGTCTGAATAGAAAATGAGGGCCCATGAGAAGACGGGTGTTGCAGGTATGAATTAAATAAGAACTGGGAAATGAATGGGATGATTCAATAGGGCGATTTGGACTTACATGAGAGTGAGTCAGACGAGTCTATCCACCCCAACTGCAGTGACCTGCAGCGCGTTCACTGCAGTGCGCAAAGGAAAGAGGGAACAAAGTCATTTCAAAATTTATGCAGGCGCTTAGCCGTTTCTAGACTCTGGATTGCAATTGTGAATCTGGTAGTTCCAGCTGCAACAACCGCAACACAGTGGTTATCCTTCTATCCTCCAAATCACTCCGGAACAAAAACTCCAAATAAATACCACGACGAAACTAATAAAATCTATATGCCCCTAAAAGACGACAGGCGCTTGGAAATAGAACGAAAGACTGGGGAAAAGGCAAAAAACGGAAGTATCGTGGGTGGAGTTATTTGATATGGTGACTCCGCTGGCGTACTGAACGAGTGTCTAAGTCAAACGAAAATGCAATAATCTATGTTACATGTACCATATTGTCGGGTTGATTTCCAACAATCCCTGCAATACAGTACCGGCCGTGGTTTATCATTGGGATCGTTTCCTATGCTAAACATCTCCGCAAGTCAACACATCATCACCAGACTGGAAATAAAGGGTCGTCATGGCTGTTCCCTCATCGGACCTGGCCACAAGCTTAGCGTGATATTCGCGAATGCTGAGGATCAGACGTGGTCCTAGCACAAACATCTGCAACACCTGGGCAATTTGGAGAACAACGGTATAAAGGACACTTCCCACAGACGCTGAGTACTGTAAAAATAATGATGAGCGGACAGACACAGATGCTCAGTCGCAGGTTGACACACCATGATATGTGTAGACAGCGAGCCCAGGGTGAAGCAAGCCACAACAGCAAAGCTAATACATTCGGAACTTCAGCGAAAGATAATAATATCCAAACCACCAATTTGACTCACGCTACAAAGTAAAATGTGTGACTTTTAGTTAACACCGTAAAACAGTCTACAATGGTCGATCTTGTCGGAGATTGGCGCAGCTCACGGAAGTGCTTTATGACAACCCAGACTGCAAGAACGAATGCGAGGATCTCCCATATAGCAGTGGAAATCAAACTCTCATAACCCAGAACCAGCTGGTCTGTGTCATTGTCGGAAAGACACAAATGATAGCCATCAACGACGAATTCCCCTGGTATTTTTTTATGAGCATTACTAATGTGCTTGAGGGTTTCATCAATAGTTAGGGCTTACTCGCTGAAACACCGATGTTTGCCATCACCGTGATAACCCCGGAGATGATCACGGAAGCCAGCAAGACTACAGCGAGAAAGATGATCATCTTTTGAGATCGTTGGTACATGGCGTGTATCCGAATCATGATGATGACTACGTGTTATTTCAGTCAAGTCAGTATCAGTAAGTTACCGTAGGCGAGCTCACCGCCCAGCATAGCATTGATGACAACAGGCGTCCATTTCATTATGAAGTAAAAGATAAGGCCTGAAAACCCGGGTTACTGATTTGCATTGATGGACTCGATGCTTCAAATGAACTTACAGCTGTTGCAGTCATTATGTTCAACATGACAAGGCAGCTGAAAATATCACTCACTCCTGTGTAGGAGCACAGTTAGTAATTGAATAGGAACGACAACCATTGGCGCAGAACACCCACTACGTCTGTCATCAAGACTGGGATACCCGCTACACGCCACCGGTTAGATGAAACCAACACAGTATATATCATGGGGGGATACATACATAGCATTTCGATCCTAATTGTAAGATATGGCTTATCAGTACAGTGCAGTGTCGACTTGTTAACCTTGCAAACTTACAAAGTATACAGTATTCCAAAGTAGCGCGCCTAGCATAGGTTGAAATCGACTCAGTACAACATGCCAACTACATCCATGACATAACTTACACAAATATAAAGAACGGTCATGGAGGACCAGCATTGCATCTATCCCGAGTCAACCGCATTATCCAGTTTGCTTCTGATACAGGGCCTTGCTTACCCAGACAAGTTCGAACTGTTAAAATATTCTTAGTGAAACAGTTGCGCAGATGAAATCAACTTACCTCTTGTCCAAATGTTAACGCTTGAATACCGTATAAATATTAATGATACCCTCGGAAAGTATTATTTCGCTCACCCCAATCGTATACCACCACGGCAAAAAATACAACTGCAAAACAAGTCAGTGATAGTGAGACGTCACCATCTTCATCCCACTTGCTCTCTACGGACCTGAAAAATAGCTCAAAACATGAATATCACCGATAAACGGCAACCAAGCGGGATCATTTAAGACTATGGTCATATCTGGATGGGGCGTACGGAGTTTGTGCAGACATACCACCATCCAGCACTTTTATAGTGTCTAGATATCAGTTTCTCGAGTGAGAATCTTGATTGACCACAGCAACTGTTGTCAATGAAATAATTAGAACGGGGAAGCAGTTCCATGATCAGAAGCACTCGTGATCGATCGAAACAAACTGTGTGCATGCCAGATTTTTAGATTTTTAGATTTTAATGAATCGTGCGAAATATTTGAAGGCGCTGAAAATCAGTCGGTGAAACAAATGATGTTCCAAATCCAATGCAGTTTTGCGTCAGTTTCATCGGCGGTCACCTAATCATAAACCTAACCGTGTAGACAAACTACTGCCAGAGCTTCATCAGAGAGCAAACTGACGGTAACGCTGTCAAAAGGTATTTAAATTCAAGCAGCTGGGAGTAGCTAGGTCAATGGCGTCTTCAACGCACCGAAGCATATTGATTATCATTTTGTTGCACCATCCAATCACAACATAGCAACGTACCACACTTTAATTTTCGCAAGGTTATGCTTAGGAGGGCAATTCATCAAGATTATATCAAAAAGGCACCTTCAAATGTAAGGTTATACATAGCTAATGTGCCCACCCAATGCACAATGGACGTCTACCAACTGGACACTGATAATACTTACAACTCCTCGGTGGAATCTGTCAAAGGTATTCCAACTGCTAGCTCCCGACTGGCTTGATGTCGCATGAGTAGCATCGATCATGCGGAGCTTCATCACACGACCACACTGCTGTTGATAGGATGCGGGCCTACAGCATGAGCTCTTTCTTCACGCTCTGATCATCAACAAAATTTTACTTACCTGAATAGTGTGATGTGTATTGTACTGTTCAAATATATTGCTTGAGCCCATGAGATGATGATGTAAGGAGACGGAAATGAACTACACCGGCGTCTCAAGAGCAGAGATAAGAACGGGCAGTGTGCTCAATCATCAGCGCCTGGCCTGTTAATACCAACAAGGATCTCTCCGGTGGTCGGCCGCATCTGGAACCTGACACAAGACAGTGAGCTACTTACCCATCAATTATTGCATGGTGTTGATTTTTTAGTCAGAAACCTTGCGCCATCAGATGATAACGTAGTAACGTACTAGAAGGTCCTTACTAGTAAGGGAAAGGATAAGGGCAAAGCATTCCGCCTGCTGCTCATCTGTCGTCATCACTCCAGGCCTGGGAACTAGACATCCAGGGGACATTTTGACCGTATCAGCAACTGCCTTCAGCTGCGCGTGAGGCCAAAATGGTACATAGCAAGCTTGAAGTTGATGTAAATCGAGGGAGAGCATCGAACGGGGTGCGCATGTTCGACCCTACATAGCGAGCTTCAGCCCGGCGCCACCCCAGCACACATAAATTAAGGAGTGATAGAGCATTGAATAGGCTAGACATTTGTCTCATGTTCCCAGGGTTATGAGTAACATGTAAATTGGAGAATGCCAGAGCAGAGAACGGCACAGATAAATGTGTCGGGTTCCCAAGGTCATGAGCAACGCGTAAGGATCGAAGTTTGATGTGCATGAATGGATCGATGACTTGCATATGCTGAGTGACACCTGCACGGATCGTTAACGAGGAGTTGAGACGAAGCAAGTGTGGCGCTGTATTCAGTTTATTTATTGCCTTCATGTGCCAGTAAAGGAGGGAAAGCAGAAATGTCCTTGAGGGCGAGCACTGGACATATCCCCCTCAGACTGCACATAGTAGATGATAGTTTCGGGACAGATCGTGCAATTCGCAGCATTTTAGAATGATTGTATGCGCGCATGGTCAGCTCCTGCAATGCTGGAAGGTATTGGAACACAAGGTCAGATTTGTCGGCGTCGGAGGAAATACAGATAGATAGAGACGAGATCTGATTAATGTAAGGCTAAATAAACCGTCCAAATCTTGTCACTGTACCCAACAACGGCACGATGTTGTTGCAGCATAGAATGTTCAAAATTCCAATTCCTCAGTTGATTTCCTGGATGATCCAAAAGGCATAAGTAGCACATATGTGCAGACGTTGCACAAGAGTGATCCAGAACTCGAGGGTAGAAAGTATGTGAAGGATGTAAATCAAGCTTTTCAGAGTGAATTTGTGTGTACAGAGCTTTGTGAGTGTGTCCGAGGGTGAAAACGACTTGTCAAGCTTTCTGAAAAGTCTCGATTCGCTCCAGCGACGAGCGCGCTGATCTGTGGAACAAAATCATTTCACATTTCATGCAGCGCATCTCGGCCCCCCTCTGAAGCAAAAACTTTGGCCAACCTGGAAACAAGAACGTACGCTGACAGCTGTCCACCTTCTTTCCTCGCCTTCCTCGCAAGCCTCCAACACATGGATCGCCCTTGAATATCTCAGCGAATAAGAAGCTAAGGATTTTGGCACTGTAGAAGACTTATGCACAGGCACTCCATGGCTCACCCACTCGGCGTCGAGCCAGCTCCATGCAACTTATTCGAAAACCTGCGCGATGGACTTATCTTCTCCAAGTATTTCACAGGATTTCGCCTGGATCCGTAACAGGGCGCCATGTTTCGACAGTCGTCAGCAAGTTGGCCCACTCCCAACCAAAGCACTCTTTCTCGCTTCAAGCAAGTGGAGAACACAAACTATGTGGTAGAGCTCACGAATCAGAATAGGATGCACTTCTTGGCCATCCAGAGCGCTGATATAATCGATGCCTTTAAGACGCTCGTTCTCAGGCTGGCAATCAATGAGGTTCGTTGAGTCGTTTATTCACAGCACACGCACATCTTTGTGATTCGATTCGCTTCTTTACAGGCCGAATATCACGACTTGTAGCGCTTTCCTTAATACCAGCAAATCAGACGTGTCCACACCGTGACGGGCCAACGCAACCGCACAAAAAGGCAAACCTGGTGTACGTTCCATCTGATCATTCAAGGATCTAACCATCACCACGGGTCACTGGTCTCTATCTTCCTGATGTGACGGTACTGGGCATCATTTCTCCCTCGTTTTCCGTTACCTGGCCTCGCAAACTTCCGACTTCCGAGCGCACGCTTGGAAGTAGTTTGTCTTTCGAACTTAACCTTTGATATGTACACCACACAAAACTGTGTCTTACATCCCTTCCAGGCTGAAAAAGAACGGAAAGTAAGTCTCAGTTTATTTATTTTCAGAGATGTCGGTTCATGTCTGCGTGCTGATCCATCGAGCTGATTTGAATGTATACATACATGAATCATGGTGATGCATTCTACGTAGTACCTTCATATCCCTGTATTTTACTATATGGTGATGTGATATATTATCGTAAAGCACTGAGAAATCTTTGAGGATTGAGCTTCAAAATCACAGATTTGAAAGCTGAACTTATATAGCCCGACAGTCCTAGCTGTCACATCAACCTCCGTGTATCAGCTAGTAGGTGAGATTTCTTGTCACAGGTAGCGTAATACAGCATGACAGTCGTTTTCCCAGACCTAATTCCACCCTCTAAATCACTCCAGAACACTAAATAAATACCGCAACAAAACTAATAAAATCTACATACTCCCTGTACAGTACCATGGTTGATCATTTGGGTACTTTCCTGTGTTGGACATATCTGCCTGTCAACGCATCTCGCCAGTCAACGCACTGCCACCAGCCCGGAAGTGAATGGGTGTCATGCCTGTTCCCTCGTCAGACCTGGCCACGAGCTTAGCGTGATATTCGCGAATGCTGAGGATTAGACGCGGTCCTAATATAAACATCTGCAAGACCTGGGCTATTTGGAGGACAGCGGAATAAAGGGCATTTCCCACAGACAATGAATACTGTAGAAATGATGATGAGCGGATATACACAGATGCTGGGTCGCAGGTTGGCGCGCCATGATATTTGGAGACAGTATGCCTAGGCTGAGGCAAGCTACAGTAGCAAAGCTAATACATGCGGAACTTCAGCGAAAGAAGATAATAACATCCAAACAACCAAACTCACGCTACGAAGTAAAATGCGTGACTTTTAGTTAACACCGTAAAACAGTCCCTAACGGTCGATCCCGTCGGAGATTGTTGTAGCTCACGCAAATGTTTTATGACGACCCAGACTGTAAGAACGAAGGCGAGGATCTCCCATATAGCGGTGGATATGAAACGCTCGAAGCCCAGATTCATCTGGTCTGTGTTATTGTCGGAAAGACATACGTGGTAGCCAGAAATGATGAATTCCTCTGGTATTTGTCCATGAGTCTTGTGTGCTTGAGAGTTTCATCAATAATCAAAACTTACCCACTAAAATACCGATGTTTGCCATTACCGTGATAACGCCGGAGGCGATCGTGGAAGCCAGCAAGGCTACAACAAGAAAGACAAGTATCTTTTTGGATCGTTGATACATGGCGTGTATCCGAATCATGATGATGACTGCGTGTTATTTCAGTCAAGTCAGTATCAGTAAGGTACCGCAGGTGAACTCACCGCCCAGCATAGCATTGACGACGACAGGCGTCCATGTCCATATGAAGTAAAGAATAAGACCTGAAAACCAATTTACTGATGCGCGTCGATGGATTTGATGCTTCAAATGAACTTACAGCTGTTGTAGTCGTTATGTTTAACATAATAAGCCGGCTGGAATATCACTCACTCCTGTGTGGGAGTGCAGTTAGTAGATGAATGGGAATGGAAGGGTCGGTACGGAATACGTACTACGTCTGTTATCGAGACTGGGAGATACCCTACATGCCGTCAGTTAGAATAAACAAGCACGATATATTTGGGGATACATGCATAGTATGATGATCCTAATTGTGAGATAACTTATTAGTACAATGCAATGATGACTTGTTAGCCTCAACTCAACAACTTACACAGAATATAGTATTCCAATGTAGCGCACCTAGCATATGTTGGAGTTGACTCAGTACAACATGACAACTGCGTTAATAACATAACGTACACAAATATACAGAGCGGTCATGAAGGACCAGGGCTGCATCTGCCCCAAGCCAGCTCCATTAATATCCAGTTTGTTTCCGATATAGGACATTGCTTACCCAGACCAGTTCGAACTGTTAAAACATTCTCAGTGAGACGGCTGCGCCGATGACATCAACTTACCTCTTGTCCGAATGATAATGCTTGAATATCATGTAAATATTAATGATACCATCGGAAAGTATTATTTCGCTCACCCCAATCGTATACTATCGCGGCAGAAGATACAACTGCAAAACCAGTCAGTGATAGCGAGACGACACCATCTTCATCCTACTTGCTGACCTGCAAAATAGCTAACAAGACTGGCATTACCGATAAACGGTAAGAACGCGGGATCATTTGTGACTACGGTCATATCTGGATGGGGCGCATGGAGTTTGTGCAGACATAGTACCATCCAGCACTTTCATAGCGATCAGTCTGGATATTGGTTCCTTGAGTGAGAATCTTGATTGATCGTAGCAACTATTGTCGTGATCAGAAGCCCTTGTTCGAAGCAAAGTGCGGTTTTCGGTTTAGATCATGGGGGGCGCGCGGAAAACATGTTCCAAATAAGACTTGCGGCGTAGGCTCTTTCTTCATGTTCCGATGATGATCAAGAACAATTTCCTTACCTGAACGGTATGATGTATTGTACTGTCCAAATATATCACTTGCGTCCACATGAGACGATGATGTAAGGAGACGGAAATAAACTATACAGCGTCTCAAGAGCAGAGTTAACAACAACGGGCAATGTGTCCAACTTGAATTATCTGCGCCTGGCCTGCGAACTGTTAATATCAACATTAACAAGGATCTCTCCTTGCGCCATCCGACAATAACGTAGTGGCGTACCAGGTGGTCTTTGCTTAATGAGGATTCAAAGTGTTTGGAATTATGCATTTCGAGCGACATAAGATGGTGGACGATCAACATGTGAGTGCGACCTCAGTGGCACCTCACTATCAGTTGATCCACGGCTTTGTTAAGCCACGTGTGATTTCCTTTTGACACTTCCTGCACTCAGGCTACATAGTACTTCCATGGCATCAGGTTCATGAACGAGCATAGATAAGTGCGTGCTTCTGCGCCGACGTCCTTTGAATCTTTTCGCCTCGTACCACCACCTTCTGGCACTCGGCTCTGATTTTTAGTCACCCACCCGCCTCCCTTTCTCTCTCGATACGCTAGCGTGTGCTGGTTTGGTTTTCTTTTCTTCTTCTCTACGGTCTCCTCCATCCCGCACCTCGAGACTTAATCACAACACGCTCTGAGGGTCTGTCCCCTCTGCGTCCGGTTCTTTCAAAAATCTCATTTTTCAACCTCCAATAACCCGGACTCTGAGTGCTACTCGCAGACCACGCGCACAAGCGCAGTCTGGCAGAGCCAGACTCTCCCCACGACCACGAAAGCTTCACTTTCATGATCAACTACTAATCTTTCTACATCGCTCAATTGGTCTCGTTCGCGTACTTCACAACTACCTACATCGCGCACACGAAATCTGTCCGTTTCTACTAAGCCAACCTTCAGCAGCATTTCGTCTCGTCTCTCCCCCTTTAACTCTCCCTAACATACGCGGCCTTTACTACAAAGCTGTTTCAAATTTCAAGTTGAACATGATCTGTACCCTAGGATTTGTAACAGTGCTGCATCACGTTCGCCGCATCACAGGCACGTCACCATCGCATTTTCACCTGGCCCCGCGAGCCTCTTCTTTTCTCCCTCTCATAGTACTTGCATGTCTATGTTACAAGCTATTCTACCTCTCACATATCTCCACTACCTCACACGCAATCATAAAAATGTTGGATTTCATATACGATAACGATTGGATTTCACTGGTTCAACTTCTTGATGGGGTACGCACATCTCAAACATTTCCCCTTGTCGAAGTTCAAGGAGCAAGGGCCTCGTTCAAACGCTGACCCCCGGCATTACACCATCCTTGTAGGTGATTTCAACGATGATGTTGTACGCGATTTCTTATGACATTGTGGTAAAAACTGCCTAACTGAGCGCCGGTAAATATAGTGCCGGCGTCAATGAGCACTGCAAGTCTACCTTGAAGCTTGAAGCTTGAAGGCCCAGCTTCAGCAGATGGTGCGACTTTCCTTCTGACTGCAGAGGAATGGCTACGTCACAAACATACTCGATTGTTTGCTCAAGCGAGTACCAACAGCGTCAGCATTCTCAAAACCGATCAACAGCTCAGATACATTGTAAGTTTAACTTCAATTCATAAAACATCTTTCCTACATCTAATTCACCTGAGAATATCCAAGATCACCTTTAACACCTTCCTTCATATCAACGAGAGCCTGAAGCATCTTCTTCCCTCTCTCATTCAACCGATCACGGAAGCGGTCCTCCGTCATCCACAACAGTCCATGCTGGAGGACATTTTTAGCTCTTGTCGATCCACCACGTGTGTCGCCCATGCACCCATGAAGCGTCGCGCGGCGCTGTTTCGAGTTGTATGCTCCGCAGTGTAATATATTGTTATTATAGAACACCGACTCGCCAGCTTGGTATTTCAGCTCGGTGAGACACACTTAGCGAGGAAATAAACTTTCGTGAACTGACGTTGCAAGGTGACTTGAATCGCTCCCGGCATGTCTAAAGGGCTCGCAGGTGGTGCTTGTGTCATTGACTGAGCTCTCTGAAGCTCCGTTCTCGGTAGTTTATGGGTCTTCGGGACGAGGTAGAGACACGAGTCCTCGTACAAAGCGCTGTTCATGACTCAGATAAATCATCAACAAGTCAACGTTGGAGAGTACTCGCGTATTCCATTGGACCTGGAAGTCATTTAGAGCACACAAATCATCAACTGTGAGCACTCACTCCATGCGTCCAGCGTTCAAGAGCAATGACTTCTTCCTCAGCAGTCGCGTTTTCTCGTACATCATCACGATGCCATCGAAGGGCAAAATCGTGCTCTAATGGGTTGATCAACAGGTTAAAAAGCTCTGCAAATGCATCAACGTCAAACAACCTATCAGGCAAGCAACACACGCACCCATCTGCAGCTCATCTTCATTGCATTGCAATAACTCCTTCGCAACATTGATAAGCGCATCTGAGGTATACCACTCTGCAAACGCGGGCTCCTCAAGGTCAGGATGCATGAGGTGTTGAACGCCCCATGAATCTGGATTGCTATCGTCGAAAGGCGGGAACTGTCTTCCGACGGTGCGCCGGTGAGGCCATGATCCGGTTCTGGTCTTAGCTATAGCATGCTCGCAAGCCTCTTTGAGGGCCTCGAGCTTCTCTGGAGGAATGAGATTTGGGACGATGATGTACCCTTGTTCGTCGTATAGAGCTTTGTTAATGGCGGCAGTCATGAGTGGGACGAGGGAATGCTTAATGGAAACTAGCGTTCATGTTCAAGACGAGATAACTA